GCTTTTCTGGGCACCGCGGAGCCAGGGGGAGAGTGCACTGCATTGCGTAGCCTCGCACTGCAGGGCAGGTGTGGCCTGGCCCCCTTTCACTCGTCTGATGCATGTGGGGCACGGAGCCCACACCTCAGGCTCCTCAGTGCCAGCCAGAGAGACTCCCTAGAGGCCCTGAAACACAGGATTACTCCTCTGATCTCTCTCTCCTCTTTTTCTCTCCTCTTTCTCTTTCATTTTCTGTCTCATACACATACACATGATTTTTTCTTTTATGACCCCACTCTCTCTCTCTTTCTTTCTTTCTTTCTTTCTTTCTTTCTTTCTCTTTCTTTCTTTCTTTTTCTTTTCTTTTTTCTTTTTTTTGCTTTTTGGGTCACACCCGGCAATGCATAGGGGTTACTCCTGGCTCTGCACTCAGGAATTAACTCCTGGCCGCTGGTGGTGCTCAGGGGACCATATGGGATGCTGGGGAATTGAACTTGGGTTATCCACGTGCAAGGCAAATGCTCTACCTGCTGCACTATTGTTCCAGCCCTCTTTCTTTTCTTTTCTTTTTGGGTTACACCTGGCTATGCTCTGGAGCTTCTCCTGGCTCTGCAACTCAGGAATTACCCCCAGCAGGTGCTCGGGGGACCATATGGGATGCCTGGGATCAAACCCAGGTCAGCTGCATGTAAGGCAAATGCCCTCCCTGCTGGACTCTGGCCCCCAACCCTTCACTTTCTATATCTCTATTTTGTTTCCCCTTCACTTTATACTCACAATCCACTTGTGTGATGAGCCCTGCCTGCTTATCTGGTTGTATTTATTATGAATATATATATCACTGTAGCACTGTCCTGTCCTGTTGCTCATCGATTTGCTCAAGCGGGCACCAGTAATGTCTCCATTGTGAGACATGTTATTACTGTTTTTGGCATATTGAATACGCCATGGATAGCTTGCCAGGCTCTGCTGTGTGAGCAGGATACTCTCGGTAGCTTGCCAGGCTCTCCGAGAGGGACATAGGAATCGAACCTGGGTCGGCTACATGTAAGGCAAACGCCCTACCAGCTGTACTGTCGCTGCAGCCAATATATATTATGCATTTAATAAATTTATTATGCATATAATAAATATATTATAAATATATTATATGCATATATGCATATAATAAATTTATATGCTATATATAAATATATAGCTCATTCTCAAAGTTTTCAAGAGAGGAGAGAGTATGGGGAGAGGGGGACAGGGTTTAGTCTTTTCTCAAAAACTAAGGAATGGGAGGTGAGATCTGGCTGGGACTGTCATCATGAATCATTACAACTACTCACAACTGTCTGAGGACGAAAGCATGACCTCAAACCCCTGTCTTATGGATGAGAATATTCAAGATCAAAGATGGGAGAGAAGTGAAACAACTTGTCTGTATATTGGTTTGGAGTACCCACGTCCAGAGGTACTGGGGGCTCTCTGCTCAGGATCACCAAGTGTCAAGAATTGAACCTGCACCTCCTGCATGCAAAGTAGACTCTCAGCCCAGTTAAGCTCTGCCTGTCAGGCCCTCTAGGGTTTTGCTTGTTTGTTTATTTTTTTGCCACTCCGGAAAGTACTCAGGGCTTATTCCTGACTCTGCACTTAGGATATTCCTGGCAGGCCTCTGGGGACCATATGGGGTGCTAGGGATGGAACCTAGGTTGGCCTCATGCAAGGCAAGTGCCCTCCCCACCAGTGCTCCCTCTGGTTATATTTTATTTATTTATTTATTTATTTTCTTTTGGTTTTTGGGTCACACCCGGCAATGCACAGGGGTTACTCCTGGCTCTGCACTCAGGAATTACTACTGGCGGTGCTTGGGGGACCATATGGGATGCTGGGAATCGAACCCGGGTTGGCAGTGTGCAAGGCAAACGCCCTACCCGCTGTGCTATTGCTCTAGCCCTCTCTGGTTATATTTTAAAGAAGGAAGGCAGCTGGGTAGAGGAAGGAAGAGCCAGGACAGGGAATACACACAGAGTGAGTGCCTCTCATGTGTCAGACACAACGCTGGGTGCTTTTTATTAGTGCATTTAGTAGTCATATACACTCAATGAGGTGGATATTATAGGCTCTCTTTTAAAGATGCTGGTGAAACCTTTAGAGAAAATTATCCAACGAAGGTGAGTGGGGAGCTGGGATCCCACTGAGACCTGCAAGATCCAAGCCTCAGGCCAGGAGAAGCCAAACAACCTGCCCAGCCCACACAGCTGCTTAAAGCAGAGACAGGCCTGGCAGGCTCCAGCCAAAGGCACCCTTGGCCTGGGGTATTACCATGAGCAAGTCAGTTATTTCCTGCTGCTTTCCTCTCACACCTCCACAACCAGGAGGCTGGATCCAGCTCATTCTCAAAGTTCTCAAGCAATGGGGCTGGAGCAATAGCATAAGTGGGTAGGGTGTTTGCCTTGCACACGGCCAACCCAGGTTTGATTCCCAGCATCCCATATGGTCCCCCAGCACTTCCAGGAGTAATTCCTGAGTGCATGAGCCAGGAGTAACCCCTGTGCATCGCTAGGTGTGACCAAAAAAAAAAAAGTTCTCAAGAGAGGAGAGTGCGTGAGGTGCGGGGAGAGGGGAGTTTAGTCTTTTCCCAGAAACTAAGGAATGGGAGGTGAGATCTGGTTGGGACTGTCATCATGAATCATTACAACTTCTCACAACTGTCCGAGGAGGAAAGCATGACGCCAAACCACTGTCTTATGGATGAGAATATTCAAGATCAAAGTTTGGAGAGAGGTCAAACAACTTGCCTAAAGAACCAAAGGCAGAATCTGGAGTGACAGTACAGCAGGCAGGGCGCTGGTCTTGCATGTAGCCGACCCAGGCTCAATTCCTGGCATCCCATATGGTCCTGCCAGAAGTAATTCCTGAGTACAGAGTCAGGAGTATCCTCCTGAGTACTGACCAGAGATGTAACCCAGGGGTAGAGAAGATGCACGGTCCATACAAGGGCCTCAGTTTGATCCCTGGCACCAAAAAGAAGTATCCTCCTAAGTATCCTCCTAAGTATCTCTGGGTATAGCCCACCATCCCCCGCTCAAACACACACACACACACACACACACACACACACACACACACACACAGCACACATATATAGCAGAGCAGGAGAGATAGCTCAATGTGCTGAGTGTATACTCTGTATGCAGGAGGCCCCAGTTTAAATCGTGGCATTGAATGTTTCTGAGTATCAACAAGAGAGACCTTCAAACATGGAGCTGAGCACTGCTGGATGTGGCCCATATACTCCTTCCCCACCAAAAAAAGAAAAAAAGGGGCTGGAGTAACAGCACAGCGGGTAGGGCGTTTGCCTTGCACGCGGCCGACCCAAGTTCGATTCCCAGCATCCCATATGGTCCTCTGAGCACTGCCAGGAGTGATTTCTGAGTGCAGAGCCAGGAGTAACCCCTGTGCATCGCCGGGTGTGACCCCCCCCAAAAAAAAAGCAAAAAAAAAAAAAGAAGAAGAAATAAAGAAAAAGTGGGGATCTGGACCCAGCTCCATCTTGTTTCAAATGTCTGGCCCAAGGAGAACTCACAGCTTTGCAATACTTGTCACCCTGACTACAAAACTCCTGAGCACAGGGACACAAGAGAAAGCACAGGATTAAGGCCTTGCCTAGGGCTGACACCCATTTGATTCCCAGCACAATAAGATCCCCAAACCATTGCCAGCTGCTGCTCTGGAGTCCTCAGGACATGCTGGTATGTCCCTAGGGTCCTCTAGCACCGCTGGAGTGGCCCCAGTAACCTTAGCACTGCATCCTCCAGTCCTCACGCTGAACTACAGGCTCAGTGAGCCTAGATTGCCTCGGGGACCTCTCTGCATTGCTTAAGCACCCCCTGCCCCCAAACACACCTGAGCTTTGACCAGAGATGTAACCCAGGGGTAGAGTAGATGCATGGTTCATACAAGGGCCTCAGTTTGATCCCTGGCCCCAAAAAGAAGACAGTGGGGGTGAGGGGGGCTGGAGTGATAGCACAGTGGGTAGGACGTTTGCCTTGCACGTGGCCAACCCAGGTTCGATTCCCAGCATCCCATAGGATCCCCCGAGCACCTCCAGGAGTAATTCCTGAGTGCAGAGCCGGGAGGAACCTCTGAGCATGGCCAGGTGCGACCCAAAAAGCAAAAATAAATAAATAAATAAATAAAATTAAAAGAAGACAATGGGATGGATGAGATGAAAGTCACAGAGGGCTGGAGTACCTGCCCTGAGTTCCATCCCCAGCTCCATGTGCTTCCTTTCCCCCTGTCAGCACTGTCAGGGGGACCCGAGTGACCCCTCATGCCACTGGGGATTGAACAGCACAGCATGGTCAGGCATTGAACCTCCCAGCCTGGCAGCTAAGAATTGTTTGGAAGTTCCCTTCCCTGATAAAAATGACGCAGGCACACCATAAACCGTCTCCTTCCACCTAGACAAACAAGTCAGAGCCCCGACACCCAACACCCGCCAGAAGGTGGCAGAAGGCAGAAAGTCCTTCCCCACGTGGACTCCTGTCTAGTGCGGGCCAGCCCAGGAGCAGCCTGGACCAGGTGCCGCTGGCCATGGGCAAAGCGGGCTCAGCCAGGAGCAGGCTGCGATGTGGCAACAACGGGCAGGCAGGCTGGGATGTGCCCGCGGCACCTCTGCCTGAGGCAGCTCAGCAAGTCACCAGCACTGTGAACATAAAGCTCCTCAAGCAGGAACTCCGCGTGGCCTTGGTGACAGGGCCGCACCCCAGAGCCCCACACAGCAGCCAGACCTGACCACCAGGCTGGGCCAGGGAGCCAGCTGGGGCCCTTGCAGTCCCGCTGGGGGGTGAGTGGGGTGGAAGGAAGAATCCACTAAGGATTGAGAAATGGTGCCTGGCCGGGGCCTGCAGCAGCACCCGGCGTGGGCACAGGGCTGGTTTGCCTGCCCACTGTCCCGTCCAGCCTTGTCCTTCACACAGCTCTTGGGAAAGCATGCCCAGACCTCCCCAGGGGAGTGCAGGGCCCTCACTCACCTCCCGGTTGCTTTCCTCACTGCTTCTTCCTCCCCACGCCTCTCTCTAGGACGGGTGGAGCACTCCGGCCCGGCAGGACGGTTGAGGACCTCCGGGGACCAGTCCTCCTTGGCCTGCTGCCTGCAAAGAGACAGGAAGCCATGGGCAGATCGGAGGAGCCATTCCCATCCGGGGCGCTGGCCAGCGTCCAGAAAAACGCGCGGGCCCCGCCTCCCCCATCGGGCCCCCTTCCCAGGTAAGAGGAGAGGTACCGGGTGGTGGGGGGCTTGTGCTCCTCCTTTCTCCCTGCCCCTCCTCGGAGACTTAGATCCCGCCCTCCACATCCCTTGGGGCTCTAGGGAGGAGGAAGAAAGGGAGAGGGAGCACGGATCGCGGGGGGGGGGCGGGGGGGGAGGGAGGGTAGAAGGAGGCGCCCTCCACCCCCTCATCCCACCCCTCCGGGCCCGGGGCTCCTCTACTCCGCGTCTCCCCAAGGTCTCTCCCGAGCACCCCGGGGCGCAGGCCGAGTCGGACTCCGGTGAATGAGAAGGCGGGGAAGGCGCGCCGGCCGGCCAAGCTGGGAGCTGGGAGGTCGGCTCCATGCCCCAAGCCTCCTCCCCGTCCCGGCGCCAGTCCCCGGACGACTCGCCGCGCCCCCAGCCCAGCCCCGGTACCCACCTGTCGAGCGGGAAGCCCCCCGGAGCGCCGCGAGCAGCGCGGGACCGGCCCGCCCAGCGGGAGGGACGAGCGGCGGCGGCGCCGACAAGTTGCAGCAGCGCCGGCCGCACCTGGCGGGAGCGCGGGGTGGGGCTCCCGGGAGCACCCGGGAACGCAGCGCTCGGGATAGGCGCCACCGCGGGGCGAAGGGCTCCCGGCTCCCTCTGCCCTGCCCCTGGGGTGACCCCCCACCTCGCACCGCCTTCAACTTAGTCCCTCTGTCTAACCACTTAGATCCGGCTCCCGCCCGCCGGCCCTTGTCCCCCCTGGGGCCCTGATGCTGGCCAGTTGCTGCCTGTCTGTGGCCCAGGGCTCACCTGCAGACCCAGCTCCGCGTCATTAAGTCGTTAACGCGCTCGGCAGAGGCTCGCCGTGGATCCCTCGGGGGACCCCTGGAGGAGCGCCCCCTCACTGCTGTGCTCTGGCTCCGTGGGGCTCTGTGGGTCCCAGTGGACACGGTCCCAACGCCCTCTTGGGTTCACCCACTCACCCTTGCAGGCGGAAGGGCCGGGTTGAAAGAGATTCCACTTCCCCGGCTCACTTTGAGAACCCCCAGACCTCAGTATTAAAGGCAGAGACAGGGGCGAGGGAAGGATTCTTCCAGGAGCCTGGCCCCACCAAACAGCCCAACCACTCCCTCACCCACATGTCCCAGGCCAGGATGGTGCCCCAGATGTTGCTTCTGCACTGCTGCTGGGGGCTATGGGCAGGTTTCTGGGCCCTTCATGCTGTGCACTCAGGGGCAGAACAGTGTGGCTCCTCCCCACTCCAGGGCCAGGCCAGACTCACTGTCCAGACTATTGAAGTGCATCAATGCAGTTGCTGGGTAAGGCACTTGGGCAGGGGTGGGGGACTCTAGTGCTCCTCCTCCAGTTCACTCGAGGTGCCCCCAAACAAAGCTAAGGGGGTCGGCAGGCATGGCTGTTCCAGAGGCTGGCACCCTGTCTGACGTCCCCGCAACCTCCACTTCCCTGGGAAAAAGGTGGCCATGCCGGGTGTGAGACCCTGCTTCACACACACACACACACACACACACACACACACACACACACACACACATTCGGCTCTGTTCCTGGCTCCTGTCCCTGCCCCTACTCCCTGCATGGCACCCAGAAAACTTTTTTCCTTCCCACCATGCAGCGTTACAGACTCTAGCCAACCCCTGGCCTCCTGTGGCCCCCCAAAGTGTCCTGCTGAAGTGAGGAAAGGACAAGTGGGAGTGTGAGGGTCTCTACAGATCAGCTACAGGTGCTCGGGTCCACAAGAGCTGAGCTGGCTAGAGGAGGCGGTTAGGCTGGGTCCGGACAGGGATTAGTTGCTGAGGATTTGAACTAAACCAGGAACCCAAGCTACAAAGGAATGCATTACGCTGTTGAACCTAAAATCAACACCCTAAATTGTTTTGAACTGACTCACAGACGCACATGCACAGTATTTTCTTTCCCTATAAATTCCTTACACAGTGAAGTCCTCACTTATCATTATCTATGGGCTCCCAGGAAATAGGAAACGCTCTTATGCACGCAGACCCATGTCTGACAGGGTTGAACTCCCTTTTGTTTCAGTTCTGACAGCTCCACAAGGCCAGGATTGCTTTCCTTTCCCGGACTTCCCAGTGAGGCAACACTAGGAAAGGGCTTGATTATTCATCTGCCCTACACCTCACCCACAGCTCATGCCATAGTGCTGTAGAACCTTTCATCAAGTGTGAGCATTAGAAGACGATCAGGAACGAATGGGAGTTTCATTTGACCTGAATTTGGCCCCTTTCCCAGGAGGGCAACGGGCTGGGTACTCTTCTCACTCTGTAGGGAGCGAGTCTAGAAAACCCTGCGGTCTTCCTACCTGGAGGTTGGGGCCTCAAGGGAAGCAGAGATGCCCAAATAAGACTGATCCGGGGGGATGGAGTGATAGTACAGTGGGTAGGGCATTTGCCTTGCACGTGGCCGACTAGGGATCGATTCCCAGCATCCCATATGGTCCCCCGAGCATTCCAGGGTAATTCCTGAGTGCATGAGCCAGGAGTAACCCCTGTGCATCGCCAGGTGTGACCCAAAAAGAAAAAAAAAAAGACTGAGCCAGGCGGTAAGGAGTCTCCAGGCATTGGAGGTATTTAAGAAAGCAAGCAGGGGCTGGAGTGATAGCACAGCGGGTAGGGCATTTACCTTGCATGCAGCTGACCCGGGTTCGATTCCCAGCATCCCATATGGTCCCCTGAGCACCGCCAGGGGTAAATCCTGAATGCAGAGCCAGGATTAACCCTTGAGCATTGTCGGGTGTGACCAAAAAAAAAAAAAGCAAGCAGATAACCATCACTCAGAAATGCTAGAGAAAAGGTGGCCAGATTGGATCTTGGGGCAGCTCCAGTCCCAGCTCTGCATTTCCAGTCAGAGTTCCTGGTGGATCAGGGCTGAGGCCTCTGCCCTCGGGGGACTAGCTGGACCCGTGTGACTCTCAGCCAATGTCAGCACAGTCCTGCAGGAAATAGGAGCGAGGCAGCGGCACACGCCTCTGCGAGGTGCCTTGTTGCCATTCTACAAATTGGCCAGGCTCTCTGTCTGGAACCCCAGAGGAGACCTTTCACCCAGGACCATGGTTCCTGGGGCCCTACCCCCTACAGCCCATCTGTCCAGGTCAGGTGTCCTGGGTGTGGTGGCCGCTTACCAGTTCCCAACTTCTGGCTGCTGGACGTGTTGTAACATCTGAGTACCTACACACAGCCAGGGCTGTGAGCCCGGGTGAGGGCCAAAGTGGAGAGATAGGGATCGCCTTGCGGTTTAGAAACACAAACACATTAGCCTTTCCTTGCACTTTTCTGCTGAGGACTTGAAAAGCTGCCTGGGAATCAAGAGATCAATGCTGCTGGCAGCTCTGTCCTTCCTTTCCTATGGGGACCCTCTGGGGCTGCACCCTCCCCAGAGAGCTGTCAATCATCCACTGCTACCCTCTCCCCACCTCTTCTCCCCTCACCCCCAGGCGGAGCTATTATTGCAATTATCTGCCCAGTCTTCTCTCCTAGCAAGGAGGGACAATCCTGTGATGATCTCTTTTGAGGGATGAGGAAACCGAGGCTCAGAAAGGCCATAGAACTTGCTCGACTCTTGTGGTTACTGAGCAGTAGAGCCAGAACTTCAACCATTGTGCATGTACCCCCCACCTCAGACTTAGCCAGACCCACTCAGAAATCCCTGGTTCCAAGGACTGTCTGATGTCATTTGCCTGGGTGGGGCCCAGTCCCTGGGGACAGTCGGTGCTGGTCATCATTTGCTTCCCTGGTGCCAATTCTGGCTGCCACCTAAGGAGGGTGAGTCCTGTGAGGCAGAAGGGTGAGGGGGCTGCCCTGGCTGCAATGCTCACATCAGCATCTCCACATGATGTGGGGAGCCAGAGGGTGCCCAGGGCTCCCCTATTCCTGCTATTGAGTCACATGCAAGGGACCAGTGCGCCACCTCCTAGGAGGCCAGTGACCCCCTGAAGTCCCTGCACCAAGATATGCATCCCCACAGACCTGGAACAGGCATATATCACAGGCCCCCTGCAGGGGCGGCTGGGAGAGCCCCGAGGGGGTGTCGGGAAGCTGCCCCCCACCAGCCTGCACCCCCAGCCCTAACACCAAGACACATCACTGTCTCTGTCTCCTCCTCCCCTCCTGCTCTGGAGTGGCCTGGGTCAGCACCCCTCACCCGGGGTCCCATGCAGCTCCCTCCAGCAGAGGGTCTGAGGGCAGGGTGTGAACCGAGGTATGCTACTAAGCCAGGGGTCCTTCGGCTGGAGGCAGGGGGACTATCAAGTTGTTGAGCCCATGATTCTTGCACACCGTGGGCCCTTCGTTCCCCTAGATCTCCAGCCAGTCTCTGCCTTTGTTTCTGCTGTGTGGAGTTGGGGAGGTGCTCCTCTCTGGAATGAGGTCTAGAGCAGTTTCCCACAGGGGATACGGGGCCACTGGGGTCAGCAGGTATAGTGTAGCCTCTCTACAACTGGAGCACTTACTGTTTGTTGGCTTTAAAAAGGTGTTAAAGTGGGGGGCTGGAGTGATAGCACAGCCGGTAGGGCGTTTGCCTTGCATGCGGCCGAACCAGGTTCAATTCCCAGAATCCCATATGGTTCCCCAAGCACCGCCAGGAGTGATTCCTGAGTGCAGAGCCAGGAGTAACCCCTGAGCATTGCCGGGTGTGACCCAAAAAAGCAAATAAATAAATAAATAAATAAATATAACAGGGTGTTAAGGGAATGCTAAATATTTCTGATTTTTTGAAAAGGAGGTTTGGAATAAATAAATGTGGGGACCCTTGGTATAGAGCACTGGTGTACAGAGGCCCCAAGCACCTCCAAACAGCATGAGGCATGTCGCCTTCAGCCTCGCCAGGGGCTGAGGCTCAAGGTGGGCACTTCGGGGTAGAGGAGAGACAGTAAAGCGAGGA